TCAAGATAATGAAAACAAAAGAAACGGGTGCCTGGTAAGAGGACAGTCAACATTGCAAATGCCGCACGCCTCTGAACACCACCACAGGGACATGAAACCGAGATTCCTCAAGTGTTACACACTTCCCCCGCCAGCTGCCTGAGAAGGCGAACACACTGCCTACCTGGAGCGCTCACAGAGGCAACATCTGCTGTTTTTTACAGAGAAGAAAAAGAGTATTTCTGGCGGAAGGAACTCATGATTCCTCGGGTGCCAAATCCTTGAGCCCAGAACATACCCAGGAAAGAAAACAGTACATCCTGGAAGTGTAACAGGATGACTCTCTATCACAAACCTCAGTTGTTCTGACTTCTTTACAGGGATGACACAGAAATGTGCTGATCTGAAGCAACGCTTCTTCAAGGGACACGAAAGACAGTAGGCAACGGCAGTTCAGATACTACTGTATCCACAAAGCCTACACAGCAGGGGGAGAGCAAGCTGCAATCGTCGTCTCTTAACTCCAAACGACCTTCCAGTTCTGCGCTTGGCAAGGTCCCATGTTCTCAAATTTTCTGACTACTCACAGCCCTGTTTAGGCAGGTGTGTAACTCCCAATCATTCATGCTGTATACTGGAGCCACCACAACAGGGAAGGTCTTCATATGTGGGAATTCAGAAGGTGCGAGTGAGCCTAGTACTTCAAGTCTTTGATTATGGAAAATGACAACAAATCTCATCAGACGTGGTGATGCAACCTGGAACGGCAGTGCTCAGGTTCCTCCCGCATTCAGTGTTCACAAGGAAGAAGCAGATAAGGTGAACATGAACTAGCATCATGCTTCTGACAGCCTGGGAGGGTTCAGCGCCAAACAGCTCAAATTTTGATCGAGCCTGCCTTTACTCTAGTATTAACAGGCTGATAATAGTGTAAAAATCCTTGTAACACGTTTCAGCTGGGAGGGTTTCACAGTCCTGGTTTACTCACTGCATGGACCATGAATACAATGTTTCTGTTAGAAGGCTCCTCTAAAACCCAATGAATTATCCATCACTAGGAAGAATACATGGCTCCTACTTCATCTTTCCTCAGAAGATGAGATGCATCTTTGAAGGCTCTCTGGTTCCTTTCCTGGAAGAATACAGTGCTAGGGTACTATAACAGTGTTTGAATGGCACTATTTTGGAAACTGAAGGAAGGAAAAAAATCAATCTTATTGTGGTTATCATTGACACATATGTTTTTCAGTAGCTGAGCACCAGTGCAGGATGAGCAGAAAGCTTATTGAAGAAATCAGTTCAACAGGTATCAACAGCTGTGATGATTTTCAATGAAGCATAAAGTCTTATTCTAATACATTTTGCTAGCAGGAGAAATTTTTTTTTGAAGAAAATTTGGCACATTCTGTGGCCTGGCAGAATGTTCAAGTAGCACTTTGTCCTATATGAAACTCACAGAGGAGCTTAGGAGGGGGCCCAACGTCATCTTAAATGCAGGTATCATTTAATCCAGATCCAAAAATGCTTCTTAAGCTCAGCCCTGTTTAGCAGATTGCTGTCTATGGATACTTTGCTCAGAATCACACATAGCACTGTTGTACCACTTTGAGGACAGTCTCTTCTATGCTAGCCAAAAGCAGGACTCACATTGAAAAATCTCAGAATAACTTATTCTTTGTGTAGTTATGTAAGGCTTTTTTTAAAAAACTGATCTTTCAACTCAGACTTACAGTGGTAACAGTACAATAATGGTGTTTCCAACAGTGTGCAGCTCTCCCCAGGAGACATTGGAAGATATTTTGTCAAATTAGTTCCTCAACATCACTAAGTCTGGGAAAAAAGCACAGATCAGTAGTTGGGCCTGTGCCCTTCTATCCTAGTGGAGGCTGGAATAGCGTTTCTGCTGATAATAGCTTCAATCAGGCAGTTCTTAGTCCAAAGAAAAGTCTTCCTAAAACTCAAGACAAGCCTTCAATTACACAATCATGTACTATTCTGGCTTTAAGATCCCCAGAACAGACTGGATGGTGTATCCTGAATGAAGAAGAACGAAACAGTTTTAAGTCATTTTCTGAAACAGTAGAAAAGAATGCTAGTTCTCTCCTGAGTTTTTAAAATTGAGGTTAACTTTCTCTGCAGACAACAGAACGCAAAAACATTTAAAATATCTGATCAGTATTACATAACGCTTTTTTATAACTTTCCCCGTTTGCTCCAGCTTCAACCGGGGTGTGAACTAAAGTCAGTGGAAGACTTTTCGCTGACATCAGTGCGCTCTGAATTAGGACCTCATTGCTCGCAACCCAGCTCGTGTGCTAAATGAATTGGGAAAGGGGGTTTAATGGCTTCTTTCACCTAACGATCTCCTGAGCTGTGCACTGAGAGACAGAGGGCTTTTTTCCCTCTCTTTTTGGAGGACATTTTGGAGGACAGCAAAGGACAGTGTAGCAATAGCTACCCTGTGACCTGCATTTTGCAAGTGGAATTTCCAAAAGGCAGAAACTGCTGGCATGCGAATGTGTTACTTCTCAGAGAAGAAATGTTCTCCAAATGTTCTCCAAACCCGGAAAGCACTTACAGAAAGCTATTCCAGTAACAACCTGGATTAGGAACATATAAACCATAATAAGAATACGTGTGGACACAGTTTGAAGAAACTGGGCAAGGGGACAGAACCAGTTTCGGAGAACAACTGACATACACAGCTTTACAGACTGCACTGTAGTTGAGAAAATATATCTTAACTGTAGTACTTGCAAACAAGCACTTTCAACAGACACACACTCCAATTTGCTGTCAAAGAGGTGATAAGGGATAGGAACACTGCTGTCATCCTATCACCCACCATCACCCCACTATGGGATCATAGGATTAACACAGCTCTGCTGCACAGGGGAATGTTTTATGGACTGTTGTGCTGCCCCATAACTTCAGCTCTATTCAAGAAGGCTGGAGTGGAGCTGAAGTGCAGTGCAATGGCCAGCGCCATTATGGGGGAAGACCCAGGAGCTGCAGACTGCCAGTTTTTCGTAAGCTTGTGCTAGCTTTCATAAAGCACATGATGGCATGCCTTTATATGATCAGACTAAGTAACAATGTTCTCTCTACATGGCAGAGAGAGACTACATTAAACACACATCAGTACATTTACCACTAAACTGTCCTTCATAGTGCAGCATGTGTTTATTCATGCTCTTACCAAAGTCCAAAATTGTATCCTCAGCTGTATGGGCAAGGAATAAATCTCAGAGGATGCTGCCTTGAATTCCTTGAAATGGCAGTCGCCACTGTCTGCCTGATCATGACTCATACACCAGTTGATGTGTCCAGAGGGGAACCAGAGAGAAACAATGGAGGAGAAGCCTGGAAGCACAGTCCTCAATGCCAAATACAGGTTTATGGAGAAATCTATCTGGACTGCAGTGATCAACTGACCTAAATTTATAGCTAGTGGGTCTTCATTGTCCCATATCAATAAAGTCCCAACTTCCATAAGCAGACCTAACACAGTGATGGTTGGTGACCAGAACTTCACAGTCCAGCAAACTCTCAAGTAACACTTGGGGAAGAGAGTAAGGGAAGAGAGAACCCAGCCGACACTGGAGAAAAGGATGTAGGAATAATGGATGAAAGGATGAATGGATCATAGAATCATAGAATCGTTAAGGTTGGAAAAGACCCTTAAGATCATCGAGTCCAACTGTTAACCTATCACTGCCAAGTCCACCGCTAAACCATGTCCTCAAGCACCATGTTTACACGTCTTTTAAATACCTCCAGGGATGGAGACTCAACCACTTCCCTGGGCAGCCTGTTCCAGTACCTGACCACCCTTTCGGTGAATGAAGGGAAAAGGAAGAGCTCTAAACACCTGGGGAAGGCACTGATGCTTCAGCATGTGCACTGCTTTTGACATGACACAAGACAAGGTGAGGTCATATTCACAGGTTATGGTGACATGAAGGAGCCCTAACACTCCTCATCACAATCCACATGACACCAAGCCTGAAGGGACAATTCAGTTGAGACATCAGCTCTTTCAGATAAAATGCAGCTTACTCAACTAATCAGAGAGTTTTTCCCCAAACACAGTGAGCAAGGCTTAATCAGGAACATAATGTCATGTGTGAAGGACATTTTGTTAAAAATACACTGCATGTACTGAGGAACTCTATTTTTTCATATGATGTGACACAGACCAGGCACTGAACCAAAACACCACAGAAGTATGTGGTTTATGCTATCTCACTGGACTACCAAACAACATTTAACATCGAGAAAGTATTGCAGATATACAGTAGAGGATGTCTAAATGTTCCTTTACACTGTTACCACAATGATTGCTTTTCTTCCATGTTACCACAGCTGTTAAAAACCCTTAATAGAGAGGGAATAACACAGGTCATTATAAAACATCTTAACCTCATTTGGAAAATATGTATGAGCTTTTTTGTTACTCCTCCTTCCCTGTCTTCTAATCAAGACCTCCATATTGAGCCCAGTTTTGTGTTTTCTTAGCAGCATAAACTAGAAGCAACTCTATTCAAGTCAATGAAATTACTCCAACATGGAAAAGGAATCAGCCATCTGCAAAAAACAGAGTCTAACAGGTAATTTTCCACTGACAGCTCTTACCGTTAAACAGGTTACAGAGATTACTCTTTTATCTAACACTGAAAGTAGACAATTAATGCAAAATGTACAATGTCTGTAAAGACAGCATGTTCACTGCTTGTGCCCTTTGTATTTAATTATTTTCTTCTTAGTAAGCAGACAGTTAAGTAAAACTACCATCAAGCTGTAGATGGAGGTTATTCATCATGCAAAGCAGGCAGCTGAACATCTCTATTTATTTATGCATTATTTTACCTTTTGTTCCCAACTTGGAAAGCATGTGGAATCTATGAGACATTTTCACGCATCATTTCTTGAGGGAGCACATCAAGTCACCTTTTATGCCCTCAGGCAAACTTCTCCTACCTGATCTCAATAACTGTCCATATCAAAATTATTTTTCGTACCTTGTGTAAGCAGCTGGAGGTTTCGGACTTCTTCTCTCACCTTCAGCTGAAGGACTTGCTGCAGAATGTGCTGTCGCAGGCTTTCCTGGGCAATGCCCATTCGTTCAAGCTTTTTGTCAGTAAGTCGCAGCAAAGCACGGCCTGGATACAAAAGGCAAAAAGAAAAATCACCCAAGGATTTCCATTAATGCAATATTCTCACTCTGAGAGGATAATTTGCTGCAGAAAAAATTCTCAGCCCTGAAATACCTCAGTCTGAGAGGTTATTGTTTTCATCAGTTAGCTACTTCCTTACTCTCAGAGATCTATGTTCCACTCCTCCCTTTTCTTTTGATTTTCTGTATTTTTTTGGTGCTTTGTGAGACATTTAAGCATGTAAGATAGGTATCTTGTGCCATTTTAGACAAACAGTTGCCATTAAGTGCCAGCTGGTCTGCCACAGGTCGGATATCCCCTATAAGACTTCAATTGGTCCAGGTGCCTAAATAGACCCTCACCTATTTTCAAGCATCTACATTACTGTCAAGAAATCACCAGTGAAAGTGAATTTTGCCGATTTAATTCATTTAAGATATACTGAGGATGAATACTGTGGCAATTCAGATATGTTTACAGTGTAATAGCACCGTTTCTCAGGAGGGGCCTGTACTTTGTGGTCCAGCCTTCCAAATCCCTCTCAACAGTAACATATCATAGCAAAATATAAAAAAGAGCCAGAGATTTCCCTTCACACTATCAGTTATATCTAAATCATTCCTGAAAAAGATGTTTGCCCAACTATAAAAAGACATTTGCCCAACTATAAGGAGCCTATGGTCTTTGCAGGCAATCACTCCCAGTTCGTGATTTATCTTCACTATTATGGTAATGTTGAACCACGGTCCCATGCAGATTGCAGACGTTAAAAAAATCAAACAATCCACGCTTCCCAGATTCTGCTAGTGGAACTCTGACTCCATCTTTTGGACATCACTATGCTATAAGTAAACAGGAGGAATGCAGCACACTGGCTGAGCCAACACTAAGGAAGTATTTGGGCCAAGCAGAGAACCAAAGCATCAAGCAATGCTTTACCGTAGGAAGAAAACCAAAACTTACTTTCTTTGGTCTTCACCACTGCTGTGAGCTAGTACAGGGAGGAGTGCCCTGCAGCCCTCTATTGACCCTTGATTCCCAGTATATACATTTGCTATCCAAAGATGCCCTGGCCAATCAATACCGGCAAATCACACTGGAGCTACACTGATACTGCCTTAGAAAATGGCATGTTGTTTGGTTCACTTTTTTAAACAGACTCAACATTTTACCTCCTCTAGTTTGGAGTGTAAGCACTTTTTAATTATTAAAAATCCCTTCTTTGATTTCTCAGGCTTTATTCTGAAACCAGAAGAAGACAGCGAAGAGCAAGTTACTCCCTCTGCAACACAGCAGCCTCTGTGCTACCATTACTGTGGCTTTCGGATGAATGGTACAATTTAGCTCATCATAAAGTGTTACTCAAAACAGCAAGATAAGGCCCTTATTCAATCTCTTTCCTTACAAAACAGCAATGAGTTCAGAATTTTTGTGATTATTTTAATTAAAAAATTTAAGATAAATGCCAAGAATTTAAAGGGGCGCAAAATATTTGCCCCAAACCAAGCAGTTAGCAGTATATCCTTCACCAACTGCTAGATTTCACTCACAAGTGGTTCTGTGAAGCCGTTAGTGGGATCTTGATACGATGCAACGTAAAATACTGGGATATTACTATTAACAAAGCAAGATGTTATTGATCAGATAAAAAATGACAGGGTTCATACATTTTCTGCCCTTCCATGTCTCTCAAGCACTACCTGCTACAGAAGATGACCTTTTCATTAGGAAAACTTTCTTTGAAATCATAAACAAGAAGAATTCTATGGGTTAATGTAATAACATAATATGGAAATTAGTCTCTTACAGATCAATGCCAGCTGTCCAATTCCCCTGGTGATACAGACAGTAATAGTGACTTCAATTTTTATACCATCTTATCACACTAAAACATCTTAAAGCAATTTATAAAGGATGTACAGCAGTCCAAGAGTATGGTCTGTAATGCCAATCTAGCAACTGAAAGCATACAAAAAATAAACAAGTCATCAGTTTAAAGAGTGCCAACACGCATGTCATCTTAGGGCTGGGAGTCAGCAACAGTAATATGAAAGGACAGACAGAGGCCATGCATCTCATCCAGTGCCCTCCGCCTCTTTTTGGCCATGGATATAGTCATTACTCTTCACTTCCTCTGGGCAACTCTTTATTTCATATTCAAATCGGTTTTCTACCCCAGTCACCGCCTTTGGAAGTTGTGTGCACAGAACAGAGACGTCTCTTTTCAACTCCCGGGATGCGAGTTCCTCTGAGGCTTAGGGTCAAAGCACAATGCCATTGGAAAAAATTGTCTTTGGCTCATATTATCTGCAGCAGCTTGCACAAGTTACCTTAAATTAACTCTTTCTTGCACCAAATCCAGTGTGACATGTGGAGGCAGTGATGAGGCAAGAAGGCAAACATCCAAGTGTGGCATTTCAAGAATGCAGTAAGTGACCTGAACTAAGAAAATTCAATCCTCCCCATACTTTCTTTCCCCTCAACACTCAGAACAACAACATCCAAGTCAGAACTGGAATAATTTTTTTATTCTGGTACTAAATCATGCCTTCAAAAAGATATTGCTAATGCCTGGATCAGTCACCAAAGCCAATCAGTTACTAAGGTCAAGGTCCCGACAATCAGCTAATGATTTTGGATGCTTCACTGCCTGGCTTCCTGTACTGTACATATCTGAAAGAGTTATCATTTGGTGCTAAGAACTCTGTAAGGGTTATTGAACATTGAAACCAGTTGTCCAGAGAGGTTGTGGAGTCTCCGTCTTTGGAAGGACTCAAAACCTGACTAACAAGGTCCTGAGCAACCTGCTGTAGTTGTCCCTGCTTTGAGTAGGGGGTCAGACTAGATGATCGCCAGAGGTGTCTTCCAACATCAGCTGTTCTGTGATTCTGTGAAATAACCTGCATGAAGGATCCCAAGATAAAGATCTATTTTCTTTGAAAAAGAGAAGATTGATGAAGGAAGTGAATAAGCATACACAAAAGATGGTCATTTTGGCAAGCATCACAGTTAAAACAGAGAGACAGCTATACAGTAAAAATTGGGGATAGATTTTTAATTTTCAGAGAGTGCTGGATAGAATATATTATCAAGATCAGAACATGGAACAAACGTAACATTTTCTAAGAGTGTACACTGATCTTTGCTAGGACACAAGTAAAGGAAATTTACCCACATCTCAGAAAAATTTCCCAACACTACAGAACTGATGCTACCTCTTAGATGTAGCAGCTACATGCATAAAAGAGACCAGGAGATTTTTTTCAAAAGCACCTTGACCAACAGAACCATAAAGATTGCAGTCACAAACACCTAGGCCTTGGCTCTAGCTAATCGCAAGGCTGGAAATCAAGCGCTTTAAAAAAAAACATAACTCCCTCAGTATCTGTATGCATCTTTTAGCACCTAAACCCCAGCCCTCTCATACCCAGGACAGATCAGCTGTGGAACGTTCTGAGACACCCCGAGGGCAGACACAGAATATAAAATACTTTCCAGCTTAATAATGGATTGATGGCCTAATTTTTTCTAATATGACTTAGCTGCTGCATATCTCATATGATCAAGCTGGGATTAGATGAAAATTTGAACGGAGGGAGAAACATTGCATGCCACAGAACATTAATATGAGTATAAGCATTGGTCCAGTGAGGCTGGCATTAGCCCTAGAGCAAGGAATGTGGCACAGTCTGCTGGGCCGAATCAGAAATGCCCATACCCCCCTGCACTGGTATAGCCTACCGCTTTTCTCCCCGAGCCTGTGGAGCTGCACCAACTGCCAGTTCACAGACATGTGAGGGACGCCACACGAGAAGCCTTGAAAGTACACTTGTAATGAAGGTGAATTAATAGGTAAGAAAGGACTTATTAAATGTGTAGAAAGAGCTGAAGAAATACAGGGAAATGAGAGCAGATTGTTAGTAAGAGGTTGGTCCCACGCATAATCCTGAAGAAAACTATGACTAATTTAAAGTTGATGAAAATGATAAACCACTAGTGGGAACAAATGATGTGTGCAAAATATGGCCAAGAAAGGTGATCTTGTCTCCTGAGCACAATATGATAGGTATACCTGAATATCAAGACAAGATATTCAGTTTACTTACCCTGGGGCACAGAATCTAGGAAAGAACGAACAGGGCAGAGAACACAAGGACATTAAAAAATGCCCTAATGCCAGACCAACAGCTCACCCAGCCCTGTATTCAGAGTGGCAGTAGGAGATATATTTCAGGAGAGCTACTGGGAGGGCTGCTTCCTGCAGTCATTCCCTTTGTACGGTGCCAGCACCCAGAACTGTTATACTAGCATTATTAGAGTACGGCATTTTTAGCACCTGCTTATTGTCCTGATGCCCATAAATTTGTCTTTTTGATCTTCCTGATACCGTCTGCCTCTGCAGCCTCCTGGGGTAGCAAATTCCAGAAGCTCACTGCCCATTTTTTTCTGTTTTATATTGATTTCTTACTTTTATATTGATTTCTTACTAATTGCTTCAAGTGTTCTCTAGTTCTTGCATTGCAGTATTTGGTTAACAGTTCAACATTCAGCTTATCTGTTGCTTCTATGATTTGTAAACTTCAGTCATATGCCTTTTGATCGTATTTCTGGATGGAGCCAGCTGACAAACCTAGAAAAACAGGAACATGGGATTCACTAAGCCCCTAAATTATGCAAGATGAAAACTTTCTCAAGTTCATACTTAAATGCTGCAAACAGCATTTTAAATTGTTGACACAACAGGATATTCTTACTTAATTGATAATAATGTGCTTCTCCAGTTTTGGGCTAGAACAATTTCAAACACATTGCTTTTGTATTTACCTCTTTAGTTCCACAAACATATTCATAAATCTAGTTCACTGGTTTTTTTCTACTTGAAATAGTCTGATCACAGCTTTCCTCTTGCTTAGATAGGCTGATCGTTGGCTTCTCTTCACTTCAGTGCTTAAAAACAAGCCTCCTAGGACTTATCAAGTAAGAATTTCCATGACAGAGACACAGAC